CGTAACGAAGTTAGGTCGTGATTATCTTCTCTCTCTCTCTCTCTCTCTCTCTCTCTCTCTCTCTCTCTCTCACGATTCTTCTTCTACTAGTTCCTCCTTTCCAGTTGTTCTTACGTTTACGTAGACTGCATATAGTTAGTTTTATTGATCGAAGTCGGGTTTTCCGATATTTTATCGCGTCTTCTGGGTTTATTTCAATGTCGGTTGACACGTAATTATTATGTAACGTCGTGAGAATTTTAATATCTCGTAAAATATATACGTTGGCAAAATAAAACTGTCCTTTTCATATTTCCATGAAACATTAAATACACTTTATAAGTCTTTTAAAAACTATTCATAAATATCTCATTATATAATTTGCAATTCGATATATATATATATAGAAAGAGAGAGAGAGAAATACAACACGTTATCATGTTCTTTTTGAATTTACATCTTGAATTTATTATCGCGAATGACAAAATAGCAAAATACATACGTACATTTTCAACCGATTCGTAATTCGAGTTTATTGATCGATTCGCTTTATACACGTTGTTACACTCGCGCGGATTTATCATACATATTTGTCAAATTGAATTAAACGAGGTATAATACACGTTTCGTGTATCACACACACACACACACGACTTGTCAAAAGACGAATGGTCAGCCTGTTGATACGTGTCCTCTCTCGCGTATGTTTTGACCCGGTTTTAACCGATTATGCTCGACGTATTGGATATCGAATATTGATAAGTCAGGTCACCGTTAAACCGACAATGTAATCTTCTTTTGCTCAGATCGGATAGCCGTTATTCCAATCCGTATTGTCAATTACAACTTGTGCCGTGAACAGTTATGCAATAAAGTTGCAGTTATGATGGTATTCAGATTTTGTCGTTTCTCAGCGAGCCAATGGTTCTTTAACGCGAGACCGCAAGCTTCGATTGCCTTTGTTACACCGTGTAATATCGCGAGTGTGGTCATTATCCAACACCGGTAATTACGTTTACTTTTAATATGCACGAGCCGTAATTAGCAGCCTCGGTGCAAATGCAATTAAGCGCGCGTTGAAATGAGGGATTGGCACGGGATTTCGTTGTTAAACGCGACGTTACAACGTATATATCGGTTATTCTGAAAAATTTACGATTCGAAAGAGGGAGGGGGGAGGACGGTCGTTAACGATATTGCCTGCTTCGTTCGGCTACTTTTCAGTAATTTCATGCATTCTTTAATACCACCGTATATATATTAAAATTCGATCCGAACTTTATATATATATATACGAATTCACGTTATGATTTTCGTGGTGACGAGCAGAAAATTGGTATTCAGAATCGATAACCAAGCGATGGACGGACCAGTGTATTATGCGTTATATGGAATATTAAAAATGTGTATTAATTTCACGAAAGGAGACGTATTATCATTCTTCTTG